CAGTTATGATAAATCTTTCTTTGGCATCCAACTTTGAAACAAACCTGAAGCAACTGCGAAAATAACAGTAGGTATTTGTTTTAAACATAAGATTTTTTTTTTATAATTGTGTTCTATTTTTAGGATTTTGAATGAGAATATCACAGGCTGCTGCATAATTTAGTAGGACATAATAGCACTGTGCCAAAAGTACATGCAAATCATTAGTAATTTCAGATTAATTGCTGATCAGTTTGTACAGTATCAGTTATGAAATTAAAAGAAGATCTAGATTGTCTCCAAACTAGAAAATTAAATCTGTAGGCCTTACTTCCTTCTTCAAAAAAATAAAAAATAAAAAGGAGCCTTTCCCAGGAGCCAAAGGAAGGCTCCATGAAGGTGCTCAGAGGCTTTGCATGGGGGTTGGAGACCACACCTCGCACCACACAGGAGGCCTTCATTTTGCTGAGGTAAGGTCAGTTGCTCTTTTAGCTCAGGAACCAAAAGGATCAACTTTAAGACAAAGCAAAGCCTGCCCAGCTTGCCCTGGAACTGTGTCCCTGGTAGACCTATGCTCCTGGTAGGTGACTTCTGCATCTTTAAGGCCTGCATACATTTGTGTACTCCATCTGCAGTTGAGGTAAGCTTCACACCCTCTTCAAAGTCATGAGTGTTAGAGCAGGAAAGAGGAACGTTAGGCCTGGTTGGTCCTCTCCCAAATACTCTGCGACTAAGCAGGTAACTTAGTGAGAGTCAACAGCTGGTCTGACCAAGAACAACCTGGTCTCCACAGAGCAGGGAGTGAAAGCCCATGGGTGAGCCTGCAGCATGCCTCAAGGCTGCAGCTGGAGCCAAGCTGGCCGCAACATTCTGCCTGTGGTAGAGGGCCAACTTTGCACGTTTTCTTCATGACATGAGGAGCAAAATGGTTTTTGATCATGTCCTTTGCTGCAGACCCAGGAGCTCTTAGTGTTGGTCACTTGGGCACCATAGTGCTGTTGGCAAGTGTTTGGTGGAGTGGAGGGAGGTGGTGGGACCTTTTGTTGCCTTGTCCCTCCTTTCTACTGCAGAAGGGGGCTGCCCAACAGCCCCAGCAGCACCTGCTCGCCTTCCCCAGGTAACCCCACAGGCACAGGACCAGTCGGGAGGGCTACTGGGGGCCCTGGCTTCCCTCTGTTCATCCTGGAGTGAAATGGTGTGCCTACTGCTCAGTTTTAAAAGTCATAGAACTGGTCTGTACTGGCCTCTACTGTAAGCTGACACCTCCTATGGCTATACTGATACTATCTTCTGCTGTTAAGAAAAGATATATTTTTTTTTCTGATATAAAATAGGTTTTCTAAGTCAGCGTGGCCCTGTGTAGTGTGTGAGAAGAAAAGTGAATTTATCATGACCTAATGTGAATACTAAAATGTGATTATTTTTTTTTACTATTATCATTTTAATTTACAGTTTGTTCTCCATTTTCATGTTGCCACTGAATACTGCTGTAACCTGTCATAAACTTACTAAACTGCTATATTTCCCCAAAGGCCACACTGGTCCATGTGTACCTGTTCACAAATTTGACTTCCACATCTCTGTCAAAATGTCCTAATGTACTAATATGAAACCATTTAAGAGTTGTTCTTCAGTTTACGGTTTTAAGCCCGTTGCATGTGACTGGTTTTGGCATTGCTATTTTTATGAGTAATTGCTGGTCTGTGAATTTCACTTGTAGAATTATAAATGATCTTTTATTTCATCATTATTGAACTTTCTGACATTCAAAAGATTGTGAATTGCTCTTAATTGTGCAAACTGACATTTTGTATATAGATGAACAGTGGTTAGGTTCTACTTTAATAGTTAATATCCATTATTAAGGCTCTCAGATCGAATAAGGTGAATATTGTGAATTTCTGAGCAAGAAAATTGAAACTTCATTATTTTAGTAATCTAACACCTTAAGTGAATTTTGTATTTCAAGGATACAATAAAAATGAATATATCTATTTTAGTATTGAATGACTGTCTGTGGTAATTTTTTCCACCTTACATTTACACTTTTCTCACAGATTCACAACTATTGGTTTCCTTCTTAAATGATTCAGTCAGCATACAGCATTTTTCTGTTGCTTGATCTTGAAAAAAAAATACATGTTTTTTTAGGAAAAAAAAAAAAAAAAACTTCAGCACTGGCATGGAGCAACTCCTTGGATTTAGGAAATGATCAAGTCTGCTTTACCCTCATGAAACTGAAGCCAGTTATTACCAGGTGAGGAAGAAAGGTGGTACTTCTGACATTCTTAGACATTATTCAGAATTAATATAAATATTTGCATTCCCAGTATAAAGATTGGTACCCAAATACAGTTCCTAGGTTTTTCCTTTTGCAAACCTCTGGGTAGCACCAGATGTACTACCTTGTGTAAATTTAGATCATTCATTTTAAAAGGGGAAATGATGGAAAATTGCTTCAAAACCCAGCACTGCATGAGCAAAGTACAACTTAGCTTTTCTAAGCATCACTGTAGCTACCGAATTCTGCCAGTAGCTGTTTAATATGAAGCTTGTATCCTAAAGAGATCACTTTTCTTCGGTCCTTCATGCAGAAATGTTAGTCAGGAATGTCTGTGAGGATTGTTGAAGAAACATTGTAGAGAAGATAGACCTGCAGCATTTTTCTGTATTTGATAAATGTGCTTATAACTTTGTGATTGCATTAACTCCATATTATTTTAAAAGTTACTTACATTTGTAAAGAAAAAGTGGCATTGTTTGAGGTTTCTTGAAGGGCATCCTTCAGAGTGAGCTTTCCTTCATGGTCTGAAAGGGAGCTTTGTGGAGGAGTAACAATAGCTTCAAATATTGTTTTTTATTCAATCTTTGTTCTGACAATACTTTTTGATATTACTTATATTGCATTATATTTTAAAATTGAGACATCAGTTTATGCAAGACATATGCTTAATGCATATGAATAAAGTTATTTTAACTGTCAGACCATAGAAAGTGAACTATATTCCTGCCCATTACCTAAACGTGCCTGTGTGTCATGGCCAGTCGCGTCCTGATAGACACAGCATATCAGAAAACTGATCTAATTATAAAAACACCATTTCAAACTACACCTGTGAAAGTATGGTGATCTTTAAGTTAAATTCTGTGTTTATAAATGCTAATGAGTATGAAGAAATTGCTGCATGCAAAGAACCATGTAAAAAATACCTGAAATACCCATTTCATTTGAAAGCAAAGAATTAAAATGTAGTGGGATCTTTACCCTCGTATAAAGCATCACTGTGTCTGTGTAACCCTTGCTATGCAGCAGGCTTCCCTGAGATCTCAAGTATGAGGTTGCCTGAATACCTCATTTGTAATTGCAGAAATACTCTTGTCTCCAAAACTATTTACACCAAAATAAAGAGTCAAAAGAAGTCTAAGCTTCAGCTGTTCCTGCTCGGAGCCTTGCAGGATGTTCAGTTAAACTGATTTCGACGCGGATGTATGTACTGGTTTGTATTTTTCCCCCAAAAAAAACAGCACCTCTGAGCACAGCAAAGTTGAACACAAGTCTAGGGTCTGGCTACGGCGGCTGCAAACGGCAGAAAGTGAACTCCTTGCTATGACTTTTGCCGGCGAACTCCTGCAGCAGCCACCCCTCTCCTCCTAAGTCGCCAACCTCCCGCAGGCAGCAAGCCTTTTCCTCGCCTTGCGAGCCAATGACTCGTCTGGCTCCTCGCCGTCTCTTCCAGCCGCCTCCCGAGGAGGAAAGACATCTCCCCGGCGGCGCTTTCCCAAGTCGGCGGCGAGGGGAACCTCGGCTGAGCATCGCTGCAGGTGGGAAGCCGGGGGGCTCCTCCTAGGAGCAAACCCAAAGCCCCGAGGAAGGGGGTGAGGGGACAGGACCCCCACCCCCGGGAGTGAGCCCTGCCGGGGGTTAGGTGAGTTTGGAGGGCTTCAGCCGGTGGAGAGAGGGGGTTTACTCCGGTAAGGCGATTGTTTGCCCCTAATCCTCAATTAGAGGGATTTCAAACTAGTATTAGAGGGGCAATCTGTTCTGCAACTTCTCGGAAGAAATAATTGTTGATTTAGATAAGCGCTGATCCCTTCAGCGTTTGATGAAGACGTTAATTTATGGCTGTCTAGCAGTTTATGGCTGTCATTAGGTTTTCAGCTTTGTCTCTGTTCGAGATGCATCTTTCTCTTTATTTTCATCCGAGACAATTATGGAAGCAAACGGTTACGTTTGATCTAAACCGCATCATTTTCCTATAGCATTTCAAATTATTCACAGCTCATAGTTCTTACACGCGCATATATGAATTTAAAAACACAGCACTGAAGTGCTTGAAACAGCCCATAAATTCGCTTCGTGTTTTATTACACGTCTCGGAACCGGCTTGAGAGGAGAAGGGCGACTCGGGACTCGCGGGGGGGGGGAGGATTTAACCCTTCCAGAGCCCGAGGGAGGGGAGCAAACCCCGCCGGGGGTCTCAGTGACACGGAGCTGCCGGGGGACCTAGGGGACAAGGGCCGGCTGTAGCTCTTTGCTCAGACAGCTGCTGGTCCTTCCGACGGCTGGGACATCCCGGGGGGACGGAGTGCCACTTGCCCAAAGTTTTGTCCTGCCCGACGGCAAGCTCCTTCTCCCCTCGGCCTGTTGGCACCCAAGTGACAAAGGATGCTGCAGGGAGCCGCCGAGCCCGGGCTCGTTTATTTTACACCCCCACAAACCCCTCCGACATCCCCTCTCTGCCACCAAAACCCGAGTGTTAATTGCTGTAAAGTTTCCGAGCACGTGGATAATTTACTTTGACTGCTGCGTTTTAATTAAAAGCAAACTTATTTATGTTTCTGATGTTTATATTACGCGATTTAATTACGTTTAGAGGCAGCGTCGCGCTTTTTTTTCCCCCCTTCTACCCTAAATCACATTTTCATTAAAGGTTTTAATAAGAAAACTCACTTGACCACTATTCATTATCTAGTCCCCTCCATGCACACAAGTTCACTTACCCATTCATTTATTCACTTACTCATTCCAGCAGATCCGCTGCAACTGCTGCTAGCAGGGATGTGAACACTCATAATTATTTGTCAAAGTCTGGAAAGTGTATTATCCCTTCTTCTAGTGGTAATTAGTTACCATAGCATCTAATACGTAAATGTGCCCAGAGCACACCATTAACAGTTAAGCGGAGGATTCAATTTAACACATGATTATATCTTTCATAAGTCATTACATTAGGAAAGCCAATGTCACTCATGCTGGGACGATTTCAGGCTCGGGGCCGGGGGAAGGGAGCGGGTCCGAGGGGGCGTTTGGAGCAGGGCCGGGGCTGCTGCAGGTGAGGAAGCTTCCCTTTCCAGGGGGGACACGTCCCTCTTAGGCTTACTGATAGATCGGGGGAGAAGAGGGGCGGGGGAGCCTCTCTCCTCCCCCTGCCCGACGGGACCTGCCCCGGGACTGGCCCCGCGCCCTCTCCTCGCTCCCCAGGGGTGACAGCAGCGAGGTGCCGGCAGTGGCAGCGCCCCCAGCCCGCACGGAGCCCCCTGCCCTCTCCCAGGAAAGCCAGGAGGAGGTAAAGCGAGAGCTTTAAAGTGGCAGCCGGGATGGCAGGGAGTGCAGAGCGAGTGCGGGGCGCTTCCCTCCTCCCTGAGCATCCTTTGCACGGGAGGCACAGGGAGAGAGACACCTGGGCAACATCGCCCCGGAGAAGAAGGAGCAACGAGGTTAAGCCAGACAGAGCCGGGAGGAAGGGGACGGCCCCTGCAGCCCCCCCGGGAGCCCCCCAGCCCGGTGCCGGCATCTGCAAGAGTTTCAGCGAGGGCTGGCCTCTGTCTCGCCTCCCCCGGTGTCACCCCCGTCCCATGGGCAGCCAAGAGCCAGAGCCTTCGAGGGGACGGCTCCGGGAAGGCTGCTCGGAAAGGAGAGGTATTAAGCAGTAAATCTTGCAGCAAATGCGTCCTGCGATGTTAAATGCACGAACACACACACACACACACACACGCACCCGCACACACAGAGGCACGCACCACGCCAAGCTGGTGGCGGTGGTTAATTCCTAATCAGAATGATGGACAGCAGAGACAGAACAATACAAACTAATGGCTGTGTTGCTGATCACTTTACCCCTTGATTAAAGACACCCAATTATGGCGCAGAACAGTGTCGTAATTATGTTCCTTAATCACATCCAGGAGGTTTAATTGCCTTAACGATGTGTTTCATTAAATGAATTTAGGTATTATAGTCGACAGTTTTCATACACAGTTGTTTTCAAATTAACATAATATTAGACATCGTCATGGAAATTGTTTTAATAATCATAATTAGACGCACCCAGCCTTTGTCTAGTAAATGCTGAGAGACGCTTCTCCTTGCGCCTGGGGGCTGATCTGCCCACCCTCTCTGGGCTGCCTTCCCACAGCTCCGTGGCACTTTACAGTTATGTTTCCTGAAAAGTTACAGGTTCTGATTAATCTTTTTTGATGGCAAGTGGAGCGGAAAATATTTATCCCCTTCCCCCGCGTGCAGGGCTGCCGATGGGAGCGGAGGCACCGCGGACACCGGGCGCCGGCCGGGAGGGAAGGAAGGAGGGGGCCCGACGGAGAGGCGGCTCTGCCCCAAAATTTGGGGGGGGGACACAAGGAGGAGGTGGAAAGGGATAGGGGGACGGCTCACCTCGGGGTATCAGGGGGGACTAAGGCGCTGTCACCCCCCGATCCCCCTGTATGGGCCCGGTGAGGGAGAAGAGGGAGCTCCTCGGCCCCATCCCAAGGGCTGGGAGAAGGGAGGGGGGAAAATGGGGGGGGGGCAAGGCAAAGGAAAGGAACGACACCACCACCCCCCCCTTAAATCTGGAGGTGTATCCTTAACAGAGCACAGCATAATACAAGCGTTTGTTCAAAATATTTTAATAAAGATTCTTTCCGACATAGATACACATACAAACGATCGTACATTGCTGTCATAATCTGATTGACCTATTTAATATATATCACTCTTTACACATCCGTGACCTGCCAACAGATCCATCATGGCTCCTATTTCGCCATCCAACCTGACAGTCCGAATTTGTATTATCTGCAAGTAGTGGAAAATAGCAGGACTCGTTTTGGAATAAAAAAAAAAACGAACCAAAGCAAACAAAAATCTTGATTTACAAATGGCAGAGAGACAGCCACCCAGCCATGCAAACTCAAACTGAAGGCTCACTTTGGGTAAATAGCTACTTCTTGCTCTTCATCTCTCATTTATCTTCAAAAAAAAAAAAAAAAGATTTAAAAAAAAAGAAAAAAATACCCCACCCTCCCACCCCACCCCCCAAAAAAAGAAAAGGTGAGAATTCCACGCGTTCTGTAAATCAGCCTAAAGTATTTTAAAGTATTTCAACTTAAATAATCATCCACAGTCAGAATAATTTACATCCACATTAAAAGCGGTTTAAATTATACCTTTGAAAACCACCCAGCGCCTGGGAAAACATTGGCTTGGCAAATGTTCTTGTAGCAGCTATTGCTCTGATGCCATGTAAAAGTAAATAGCTATTACCTGTTATAATGCCTGTTATAATGCAAAGGATACCCTTTCAAAAATCAGTGGGTTGAGCAATTAAGAATACACCTTTCCTGTAATTTTTGGACTGAAGCAATTTATTAAAGCTCAATTGAAATACAGGGATGATGCAACTTAAAATCCAGATGACCTTTCATAAACCTAAGCAGCTCGGATACATCAACATTTCTGGCTATACGGCGTTGGCAAATAAACGTTTTAAAACACTTGGCACACAGTTTAAGTTAATCCATAAACAGAATTTTAGAAGCATTTTAAAGTAACCGCACAGAAGACCCGTGACCTTAACACATGAGAAATACTGTTGGCGTGGGAGGGTCAGTTAAAGAATAACAAATAAATATCATGTCTTGTTTATACATCATTGCGAAGTGGAAAGAAACAAGGTGCACGTAAATATTTCTTTGAAAAATGCGATACTTTCGGCCACACGGAGGAGGGGTTCGGATCGGTTATTTTTTTGCCGTTTTTTTTTTTTTTCTTTTAACTCTCTCTTTTTTTTTTTTTTAAATCACTCTCACCAAAACTTTGCGCATTTTCACAGGATCAAAGTTTAGAGACGATAAAAAATACAAAGTCTTCCATAGCAGTGGTCCAGTCTCTTTGTTTCTGCGAGTCGCTTAAATAATAAGTTTACATTTCAAGTTTGTTCGTTTCCTGGCTCAGAATAATCATAATACTGCTAATAATAATTAAAAAAAAAAAAAAATCTATGCTCGAGTGCCCTCTCTGATTTGTCCCATCCATCCACCTCCGCCGCCGGCTCCTGCCCCGGGACCGGCCCCGGGAACTCGGCGCCCCGGGCGGGCAGAGGGGCGGCGGGGCCGGGGTCCCGGGTGGGGGTGTGGGGGGGTCTCTTCCATCCCTCTCCGCGGCTCCAGCCCTCCCGGCCTGCCGCCTCTCAGCCTCTCCTTTGTGCGGGTCGCACCTCCAGGGAAACCCCCCCGGCACCCCCGAGGCTGAAGCCCCCTCCCCGCCGCCCCTCCGCCCGCCCTGGCCCCGCGCCCCTTTCCCACCGGGGCCCGTCTCCGTCCCCAAAAAGCCGCCGTCCCAGGGGGGAGACGGGGGAGCCCTGGCGGCTCGCAGTCCCTCCGCTGCCCCCTCGCCCCCCGGCCCGGCCGCAGACCCCCGCTTGCCACCGCCGGTGCCCGGCTACCGGAGGCGGGGAGGCGGCGGCGGCGGCGAGGCTTAAGGCTTCTCCGTGCACTGTTTGCAGAGGCTGGAGGAGACGCTGTTGAAAATGGCACATTTCTCCGGGCAGGAGGTGGCGGGGGGCAGCCCGGCGCTGAAGGGGTAGCCGGCCGCCTGCTCGTAGGCGCCGAGGGCGGGGTGCAGCGCGGCCGCCGCCGCCGCCGCCGCCGCGGCGGAGCTGGGCAGGGAGGCGGCGGAGATGGCCTGGCCCTGGTTGAGATAAGCCACGAGGCGCCGCATCTCCTCCAGGGCCTGCGCCTGCATGAGGATGTAGTTCTTGGCCAGGAGCAGCGTGGCGATCTTGGACAGCTTCCGCACCGAGGGGCTGTGCGCGTAGGGGATGACGGCCCGCAGCTCGTCCAGCGCGTCGTTCAGGTCGTGCATCCGCCGCCGCTCCCGCGCGTTGATGTTGAGGCGCAGCGCCTTCTGCTCCTTGGACTTCTTGCTGCCGCCGTGCCCGTGGCTGTTGGAGCAGCCCCCCTCGGCCGCCTTCGGCCCCACGCCGCCGCCGCCGCCGCCGCCGCTGCCCCCGCCGCCGCCGACCGCCGGCGAGGCGTCGCGGGGGTCCCCCCCGGGGCCGCGCAGCAGCAGCTCGCAGCGGCCGTCGCTGTCGTCGTCGGGGCTCTGCTCGCCGCCGCTGCTCTCGGCCACCGAGCTGCGGCTGGCGCTCTCGCCGTACTTGACGCACACGGAGCCCGGCGGCAGCCCCAGCGGGTCCCCCCCGCCGCCGCCGCCTCCGCCGCCGCCGCCTCCTCCTCCGCCGGGCTGCAGCAGCGCCTCGGGCTCGGCCGCCTCGTAGCAGGCGAGCGGCGAGGGCTGGCGGTCGCGGGGGTGCGACAGGTCGAGCCCCGGGGGCGAGCGGAAGGCGGACTCCATGCGCTTGGCCGAGGCGGCCAGGCTCTTGTGGAAGAGGTCCTCTTCGGCGGGCAGCCCCAGCGCCCGCTCCATCGGCGCCGCCGCCGCCGCCCCCCTCAGCTCCCGGCCCGCTCCTCCAAGGCTCCTCCGCGCCGCGGCGGGCGGCGAGCGGGCGTCCTGCTGCCGCTGCCGGGCTCCCGGCTCCCGCCGGGGCTGCGCCCTGCCCGGCGCTGCCGCCGCCGCCGCCGCTGCTGCTGCTGCTGCTGCTCCGGCTCCGGCTTCGTCCCCGGCTCCGGCTTCGTCCCCGGCTTCGTCCCCGGCTCCGGCTCGCCCTCAGCAGGCGCCGCGCTGGGGCATTGTGCGCTGCCAGCGGAGCCGCTTCCACCGTTTATCTTGCTTGGATTCACCTTCAAGAGATTTCCGGAGCCATCAACCAGCAGCCGCCGCAGACGGGGGAGTCTTTTACATCATTATCTCTGAGAGTAGGTTATTATGAAGAAGACTCGCCTGTTGGGACAGAGCTTTCTACCCAATCAGGTTAACGTTTTAATTAATAGGATTAAAACGGTAACAAACAATCCCAGGCGCTATCTGGCCCTGAGTCTGAATAGTTTCATTTCCCAGGTCTGAAGACAGGCAGCAGCTAGAGCTTTATAAGAGGCGCCTGCTCCATTATTCTCCCTGCCATCTGTATACACAGCTTAACGCATATGTTTGCAAGACGTTGTGTCC